TTTTACTTTGGCCTTGAATTCCTCATCTGCAAAATGAGTGGACTAGATTAGCACTTCAAGGTTTCCTCTGAAATTAGGATTCCATTATTTATATTAAACAAGAAGGAGGAAATAACAGTAACCACTAAATCGATCATCAATGGCCTCTATTTGGCTGAAGGCCTCATGGGTAGGTCTCCCCAGGCTCCATTCAAACAATTTGATGGCTGAAGCCTAAGTTACACAGTCATTTTTTCCTGGCCTATCTAAGCTACATTAGCAAGACTGAAACCTTCTCCACAAATTTTAATAAATACGTGACTTAGTAACTCTTTGGGGAAATAATTGTTTGCACAACCTTTCAGTCTTTGTTTTGCAATCCTTAAATCCAACAAAACCTGTAATACAGGGAAGATGGATTTGAAATTTCTCATGCAGGGAAGGCATTGCTGGAATTGTAACAAAATTAGTTTTGGGAGGAAAGTTAGTCTATTTTTACTCATTGTGTGGAACACATGAGTATTTTCCTTGGATCTACAGACTGAACCCTCCTCCCCACCTCCACCAAGTCTACACACATGCACACCGATACTTGATGTGTGCTTCTGAAATTCCTGGATCACTCTAAGAATTGCTGAAGGGAAGACATTCCACAGATCTGGCGGCCTTAACCTGGACCAAGGGCATAACTTATGCCACGCAGTGTTGTCATGTTTGGACAACAGTTTAGCAAAATTCTTTTAAATATGATTTCAACATCATAAAAGGAAATTTAATCTACTGGCATTTATAAACACAATCCTTTGTTACCAAAATCTGCCTTTCTAACTTGTTTTTCTGGTTGACTTAACATATATGCAGCCAATACTAAAACTAGTTAAATGCCTCATTCAGATTTTCATGAACTTTTTCTACATTTCTTTTAAATTGTCATGATTTTCTATTTTAACTGAATAATATACTACTTGTCAATTTTTCAAATACAGTATACCCCTAGAAGATATTTTCAACTTTTTTTCATTCAAAGTGTTCGGTTTTCTCTAGGTTGTTCTGCATGTTGCATCAATATATTATCCTAAGGCCTTTAGATTCCATTCCCCTGGTTTAAAAAGAAAAAAAGGGGGGAGAAATACTTGTGTAATCTACAGTTTAACAATCCCTCTTATCAACAAACTCCTTGTGCATACACAGTCAAGGAATTCACTCTGGACAGAGTTCACTTGTGTTTCTAGACTAAGGTACAAGTTACCCAATTTTTCTCTCTCCACCAATAGGTCCTGCTCTCTGGAGGATTTCTTGGCCCTTTGAACTTTGACAATTTGAGAATCTTTTAAAAATTATGTCAGAGGTGAAAGATTGCTGAAGTTAACAATCCGAAAAACTTTGGATTCTCTTTCTTTTTGAAGAAAAGGCAGACATTCTGGACTTGCCGAGATCAGAGGGACATACCTTTCCTACAATATGTTTTTTAGACACCAACTCTCAAGGTAGATTCTCTTTTGAATTGTTCAAAACTTTTCCAACAAATATTTCATTTTTAATTGACTTTACAATGTCAAAACATTATAAAATAGAGAAACAGCTTAAAAGAATAAAATTTCACCCATAATTTGGCCCACAAAGCACATCATTACTTTTGTATGTTTTTTGCCAGTTTTTATTCAAACGCATAGTTTTACATGGTTTAATTTCAAGAATGTAAATTTAATTTTTAAATTTTCTTCAATAGAAGACTGTATACATTCTTCCAATCTATAATCATTCCGATGGAGGTACCATGATTTAATTAATAAATTCCCTTGCTGTAGGATGTTTAAAATCGCCTTAGAGTTTTAGTTATTATATAAAACATTGCAAGGGATTATTAATAATTTGTGCACATTGTTGCTTTTAAACTACTTGCCTAAAATAAATTGTCAGTAGTACAATTACTAGGTCTAAATATTTTGGCAACTTTTGATTTATATGAATAATTGCTTTCCAAGAAAAGGGACAGTAACAATCAATGTTACCAGCAATACATGTGCATACCAATGCTACCACCATCTTACTGGCACTGAGTTTTATCATAACGAAACAAATTTTGGTAAATTAAAGAATAAAATTAACATTTTCTTGTTTATTCTCTAATAAAGTTAAAATTTTGGTAAAGTTAAACCTTTTCCATTTATTTGTTTTATAAATTATCTCTTTGTGGACTTAGCATATATAATCTAATATCTAAATTATACTATTTGTAAATGTGATTGAATTCTGTAAGTGGGACAGCCATAAACTCTTACCTGTGATATCTGATGCAAATATTTCTTAACCATACTCTTTAATATTTACCTTGTTAATTTTAGCTTTCCCCAATGACTCTAAATTTTTATACAGTTAAGTCCCTTGATCTTTCCTTTTGAATCATTCTCTTCAGGCCTCCTCCAGTTACTCTCCCATCTTCCACATTGAATGTCTGCATGCATGTGTGGCTTTCTGACTTCCTCATTTCTTCTCCTAGTTACCTTTTCTTACTCTTGGGCTTTGTCATTTATTTTAGTACCTTCCACCTCCTTTGTTCTTCTTCAATTATATACACATAGACAATCCTGCTATGAACAACAGAAAGAACCCTGAACCTGAGTAGTAAGTTTGAAGAGGCCAGGAATGGCTATCTTGAACTCTAGCATCGAATGGTTTTTGTGGTTCCCCTGATAACTAAAGCCAGCCTGCATAGCCCTCCTCTGCTGCCTGTGCTCCACCCCTCCTTTGCCATCACTAACTTGTTTCTCCAACATCTTGTCCTCCTCCTTTTGCTACAATGAACACACAGATCCAACCAACAAGCATCTACCTCCATCTCCTACATCCTTGCTTCCCGCCTCTCATGCCCAACTGTGCCCTACCTTTATCATTACAGAGCCCTTCCACTGAATCATATAGAACCTCATCTCTGTTAAGAAAAGTCTTCTCCATGTTTCAATATTTTCTTGCACATTTTTTCTTCCTCCTTTCACTAGCAAACAGAGCTTTTCCTTCTCTTATCAGTGCCTCCTAGCACAAGCTTTGCTTCCTTATAATGCTTTCAGACCACTTTACCATAGCCACCTCTTAATAACTTCCCACCTGAAGTTATGACATCTGCTTATATATGGACCTCGGCATTCCCATCTATCAATTTCAGGCAGTTTGTTCACCTATCTGAATGAATTCAATACTTGGCTGACAGCTGTTCACCACACGCTATCTGCTTCTATTCTTATAAACAACACTCCTCAAATCAATGGCCAGAACTATTCTCTAAGTTTCTCAAACTATCAGCTCAAATTCACATCAACCAAATCCAATTTAGAGCATAAAGTTGTTGATTCCATTAAATTTTCTACATTGTCATGTCATTACCAAATAAGTTTTACTTATTCTTTTCCAAAATGGAAGCCTTTCATTTCTTTTCCTTGCCTGATGCACTGGCTAGAATCTCTACTACAATGCTAAATAGAAGTGGTGAGAAAGACATCCATGTCTTGTTCCTGATCTGATCAAGAAACAATTCAGTCTTTCTCCAGTAAGTATGACAACAGCTGTAAGGTTCTCAGAGAGGCCCTTTTATAGTTGAGGGAATTCCCTTGTATTCCTACTTTGTTGAGAGTTTTTATCAGAAACTGATGTTGGATTTTTTTTTTGCATATTTTAAGATGATTTTTTTTTTTAGTTTATTGGTATTATGAATTAAACTTATTGATTTCTGAATGTGAAACCAACCCTACACTCCTGGGATAAATACCACTTGGTTGTGATATATCATCCTATTAATATATTATTGTTGGATTTACTTTGCTATATTTTTGTTTATAATTTTTTATCTGTGTTCATGAAAGATATTGGTATGTAGTTTTCCTGTAATATCTTTGCCTGGTTTTGGTATCAGATTAATGCTGATCTTATAAAGGAATTGGGGAGTGTTCCCTCCTATTTAATTTTCTGGAAGAGACTGCAGAATTGGCATTATTTCTTCCTTAAAACTAGTAGGATTCACTGGTAAATCCAACTAGACTACAAGTTTTCTTTCTTTTTTTAATTTCAATTTCTTTAATAGATATAGGTATGTCAGGGTTCTCTGTTTCTTCTTGAGTGAGATTTGATGATTTGTTTTTCAAGGAAATTGTTGATTTCATCTAAGATGTCAAATTTATTGATATAAATTGTTTCATAATATTCTTATATTCTTAATATTTATAGAATCTATACTGATGTTACCTCTCTCATTCCTGATATTGGTAATTAGTGTCTTCTTTGATTTTTCCTGATCAGTTTGGCTAGAGTTTTATCAGTTTTACTGATCTTCTCATTGGTCAATAAAATTTGGTCTAACGAATTTTCTCTATGGTTTTTCTATTTTATTGATTTTCACTTTGATTTTTATCATTTATTTTCTTCTGCTTACTTTGGGTTTAATCCATTCTTCTCTTTTACTTCCTTAAGGAGGAAGCTGGGGTCATTGATTTGAGGTCCTTCTTTTCTAATACAGGCATTTAGTGCTATAAATTTCCCCCAATGTCCTGCTTTAGAAGCATACCACAAATTCTGATATTTTGCATTGTGTTTTAGTGCAAAATGCTTTATCATTTCTCTTTTGATCCTTTCATGATTCATGGATTATTTAAAAGCAATTGAGTTTCCAAATATTTGGGGATATTTTTCAGAGACCTTCTTGTTATTGATTTCTAATTCAATTCCATTGTGGTCTCAGAATATATTTAGTATGACTTGGATCCATTTAAATTTATTGAAACTTGTATGATATACTAGATTATGGTCTAATTTGGTAAATGTGCCATGTGTACTTGAGGAGAATGTCTTCTGTTGGGTGGAGTATTCTATCAATGTTAATCAGATCAGATTAGCTGATAGTGCTGTTCAAGTCTCTTATATTTTAGCAGATTTTCTTCTAACATGATTATTGAAAGAGATTGAATCTCTGATTATAATTGTGGGTTTGTCTATTTGTCTTTGCCATTCTGTCACTTTTTGCTTCTTATATCTTGAAGCTCTTTTATTAAGTACATAAATGTTTAGCATTATTTCCTCTTGATTAAAGTTCATTATGAAATGAACTTCTTTACCCCTAGCATTATTCTTTGCTCTGAAATCTATGTTGTCAGATATTAATACAGTCACTCAAATTTTCTTCTGACTAGTATTAGTATGATATATCTTTTTCCATCCTTTTACTTTTAACCTATTTGTATATTTACATTTAAAGTTTGTTTCTTAACATAAGTATTTGGTTGGGTCTTGCTTTTTAATATCTAATGATATCAACCTTGGTCTCTTAACTGAAGCATCTAGATCATTTACATTTAATTATTGATGATTACATTTGAATGTATCACCTTGCTACTTGTTTCCTATTTTTTCCATTTATTCTTTTTCCCTTTTCCTCTTTTCTGCCTTCTTTTGGATTATTTTTGACAATTCCATCATATCTCATTTGTTGCCTTATTGGCTACCACTTTTTGTTTTGTTATTTTAGTAGTTACTCTAGGGTTTATAGTACATCTTTAATCAGTCTACCTTCAAATGTTATTATGCCACTTCCTATATAGCATAAGAACCTATAATAGTGTACTTTCTTTTCCCCCAATTACCTTTATACTATTCTCATGTATTTTACTTTCAGATGTTATAAATCCTATGATATATGGTTATTATTTGTTAAAACAGTTACCTTTTAAAGATATTTAAATAATAAGAACAAAATTTTATATAATTACCTATATAGTTTCCATTTTTGGTACCCTTCATTCTTCTATATAGATCCAAATTTCTATCTGATATTATTTTTCTTCCACCTGAAAGACTTCCTTTAACATTTCTTATACTGCTTGTCTGCTAGCAATAAATTATTTCAATCTTTTTATATCTAAAAAAGGTTCCATTTTTACTTTCTTTTTAAAATATATTTTTGCTGGATATTGGTTGATTCTTTTCTTCCTTTCAGTATTTTAAAGATGCTGCTCCACTGTCTTCTCGCTTGCATTATATCCAGTGAAAAATCTGATGTCATCCTTATTTTTATTTTCATGTATGTCTTTTATCTGCTTTTAATATTTTCTCTTTGGATTACTCAAGGTTCTCAAGAGAAAACTCTGGTAAGTGAAAAAGGTACACTTTGGATTGCTCTTACACATATTTTTGGAAGCTAATTTGCTTGAAGGGAATTATTAAGCTAATAAAGTCTATATAACTTTGTAACGTATCACTCAAAAGATATCCACAATTTTACAAACAACCAGTAAAGTACATACTCTCATCAGAAATCCTAAACCTTGTATACCACTAAACTTCATTTGAAGACCTGAACGGGCATCCTATCTCTGTCACTAGCTGTGTAACAACAGCCACGTCAACATATCTTCGATCCTCAGGTGATTTAAAAACACAATATGGAAAAAGATTCTTACTCATCCCATAGGTTGTTACTAGGCTTACAGAGGATATTTTATGTAAAAACACTATATAGATTCAGTTTACTGTCATTTGTTTATTCATTCAACAGACATCTGTATCTATGCCCAAATCTCATGCCAGGCTCTAGGAATACAATGCCAAATAAGATGCTCTATCTGCCCATAAGAGCTTAAACTCAGGAGATGGACATGTCAACAAAGCAGTGTTATAGGAACTGAATGGCAGAAATATGGACAACATCCAGTGGGGAGCGGAGAGGAGGTTCAGTTCTGAGGGGGAAGGTTTGCATGCAAAGAGGCTAAGAATGATCTCTGCTCATCCACTCTGGGGTCCCTCCACCCCTTATTCTTTCTCACATCCTAAAATCAAGCTATGTCTCTGATTCTTTACAGCACCACAGTCTCTTATCTCAATTTTAAGTCTGTAAAGCTCTCAAAGCCTGCACTTTTTTTCTAACTTATTTGGTGGCAAAACCTGACCTGAACTGATTGATGTAAGGCTTTTTTGATCATCAGTATTTTCCCTACTTGCCAGGATATCCTAGTTAATGATTTCTTCACCTACCTGTCACCTAAGCCAAGAATTGAGCCAGCTAGGGCTCCCCCCTCCCCCAAAACCCAACTGCACAAAGTCCTGTCAATTCTAGCCCTCAAATATGTACCCTAGCTATTTCCACCTCTCTATTCCTCCAGCCATTGCCTTAGCCAAGGCCTTCATCATCTCAGCTGCATCATTACAAAAATCTTCTGAATCTCCACTAACAATGATCTTCACAATTCAACCACCACATCGTGGCCAACTTAATCCTTCTCAAAAGAATATCTGATCATGTATTATAGTCTCCTTGCTTAAAATACTCTGATGTCTTTGCACTCTCTATAGAAAAAGCTAAAATTCCTGAGCATGGTATAAAGGGTTGGCCAATATACAGCCACCACACACCTCTTATGACTTGTCTCCCGGGACTCTAACATACACTTCCAGGCATAATTGTGGTTTCCAGGAGGTGCCAATTTGTTTCATGCCCCTTTACCGTCACACAAGCTTTTCCTGTGCCCTGAAATCCTCTTTTTTTCCCCACCCTACTCTCTTGTTCCTGCTTATCTACAAGGCTTACTTATCAACTTCAGATCTGATGGAGAAAACCTCATCATGCATCTTTCCCTTTCCCTGTTTTAGGCAACACTGACCACGTCCCCTCCTTTGTATATTTCTAGACATGAATTGAATGTCTATTAGGCCAGTAGACTGAGACTCCTGGAATGCTGGGATCACTGCTTATCCCCAGTGTCTAACATTGGACCTAGCACATAGTAGGTGCTCAAAAAGTGAACAATCTTTTCAGCTTTCCCAGACAATATCTTGCCCTACTCTTTCCTCAGCAGCTCTCCCCCTATGGCAGCTCTGTTCTTCATCTCCTATGACTGTTCTTCCATTATTTTCTCTAATTTATACTCTTCTTTTCTGCTTCATTATCAGAAGAAAAAGAGGCAGCTTTGGGGAGTGACAATAGCCCAACACCAGGGTTTCTCACCCTTGGCACTAATAACATTTTGGGACAGATAACTATTTTGGGGGACTGCCTTGTGCACTGCAGGATGTTTAGTAGCATCACTGGCCTCTACCACCTAGATGCCAGTAGGATCCTCCCTTAAAACATCTCCAGACATTGCCAAATGTCCCCTGGGAAGGGGGTGAGGGGGGTGAAATCTCCCCTGAGAACCACTGCCCTAGACTGCCTTTTCTTGACTACCTCAGGAAACAACGTGGCAAAGCTAATCAATGGTCTCCTGTACTGACTATCCACTAGACAAATGATGCAGGAAGAAGATTCAGATACATCAGTTTACGGTTTAGGGAGTATATGACCAACAAATACAGGCTGGAATGACACTTCAGGGAAGGACAGCACTCAGTGGGCCTGAGATGAATCCATTTTGTCATAGCACCAGAGTTCCAGGTTGCAGGATTGGTTGTCTATTTTCTTGGGTTTGACTAATTCAGTGCTACTGAATTGACCAGCTAGAGGGATACATGGATGCAGCAATTTAATGCTATTAAATCCTCCTCAAATCTTTTTTAAAAAGAGATAGAGTATTTAAAATTAAAATAAATAAACTGAGTAAAGCATTAAACCGCAAAGAGAGAAAAGAGGAGGAGAGAAATCATACAAATAGCATAGGAAACTAGAATGTCTCCGGGACGCAAAAGAGAAAGGGCTAGAACTCTGGCACGGTACCCACCTGTGGTTGACACAACTTCCTCAGGGCTTTCACTGCAGAGCTTTGACAACAGACTTGTCTTGCCAGAACCTGTGAGGCCTATGCAAACCAGGTCATATTCTGGGCGTGCAGGTGGTGGTCCCTTGCAGCAAAGTGCTCTAAAACACTGCCAAGAGAGGGAGAAAAAGGTGGTTCTTTAAATAAGATTGTGGAAACAAACCTTAGGAACATTTAACATGACTAAATAAATATTAAGACTATTTAAGTAATTAAACTGTTAATTATAAGGAGGAAAATAATAACTCAAGAATAGAGAACGACCTTAACCAAATGATCAAAGTTAACATCCTTAGTCAGGAGACATACGTCTACTGCGTGGCAGGTGTGCAGCAACGGGCATGACGTCATCACACAGGATTCCTGCCAAAACTGCACAACCCGAATCTAAGCACGAGGAAGCCAGATACCATCAATCTGAGGGGCATTCTATAAGACAACTGGCCTGTTCTCCTCAAAAATGTCAGTGTCTTAGAAGTCAAAGACAGAGGGAGGAACTGTTCCAGGTTAAAGAAGACTAAAAAGACATAATAATGAAATGCAATGCATCTTGGACTGGATCCTAGATCAAGAAAAAAAATGCCATAAACAACATTATTGAGACAATAGGTGAGGATTGAATACAGATTTCAGAAGGTTAAATTTCCTCAATGTAATAACTGCACCGTGATTATATAAAGAAAACCACTGTTCTGAGAAAACATTCTAAATATTTAGAATGCCTCTAAGTATTTAGAGGTGAAGGGTCATGATGTCTTTGATTAACTGGCTCAGAAAAATTCTAAATTTCTGTATCTCCATCTCTATCTGGTGAGAAAAGTGATAAAGCAAATGTGGTAAAATGGTAATGACTGGTGAAGCTGGGAAAATAGAAAATTCCTTCTTCTAGTCTTACAACTCTTTGGTATCATTTGATATCATTTTAAAAATCATTAAATTGAGTCCCCATATATATCACTATCTTCCTGGCCTTGGCTAAACTCTGTTTCAGGTCAACTGACCTCAGGGTACTATGAACTATTATTGTGCATGTCCTTAGTGCACCACACACACCTGTTTGCTCTGCAAGAATTAAAGACAAGGGGATCTGGGAGACAGGATATTGTTTATGTAGCTATTGATCTTTCTACTTATCTCATATCCATTTCTTAGGGGCCAAGTATGTTCCAGCTTATAAAGCCTGAAAGATTTAGCCCTGAATGACTCATGAGATAAAGAAAGAGGAAGAGAGGAAGATAGACCTACTCACTTCTGGGTCATCTGAGGATCATGACAGAAGAGACCTATAAGAAGCTTGTGTTGATTCTTCTCATTCAGATAAAATCTGAGTCCTAATTGGCTATCATACTCTCATAAATCAAGCCTGATTATCTGTCCCTCATTTCTCACATCTAGTCAACAAATCCAGTCCATATGACCTCTGAAGTAGCTCCAGAATCTGTCTGCTTCTCTCCAGCCCAGGCCACCGACACCTGGCCAACATCGACATTCTCTCACTGGTTCCAGCACATTTATTCTTGCACTCTCTATTCTCTACACAGCAACCACTGTGATTGTTTATAAAAAGAAAATCCGATCAGATCTGCTTAAACCACTTCAGTAACTTCTCCCAGCTCTTGAGCCCAAACTCTCATCATGGTCTACCCCACACTTCATGATCTGCTGCAGCCAACCCCTCCAGCCATGCCGACCCTCTCTCACTTCGAGGCACTTACTGTGCTGTTTCATCTTCCCCCAACTTGGCTTAGCCAACTCCCCATCAGATTTTAGGTCTCAGCTTAATCACACCCCTTCCTCAGGGCAGTCTGCTCTGATCCTAAGACTGTGCTAGCAATTCATGTCAAGCTCTGCAGCACTTGTGTGACTTCATCACATGGACAATTACAGTCTTTTATTCATCACCAGACTGTGAGAACCATGTCTGTCCACCTCCACCCCAGTATCCCCAGTGCCTAGCAGAAGACACAGCACAGAATCTATACTCAGTAAATAATTGTTGAATGAAGAATGAATGATATTTAAATGTCACCTAAGAAAAGAAAAAAGAAATCATAACGGTTAATAGGACACTTTTATCTATACTTTCCAGGCCCCCCATGCTTCAAGAAAATAGTGCCAAAATAAGAGAAACCCTTGACTTTTTCACTTCACTTCAATGACAGAAGTTAGCCTAGTTCCCAAAAGAGTGATTTTTATGTACAGGATCAACTTTCTCAGTAGATTAGAGCTTCTTTTTATCCTAAATTCATTTTTCCTCGGGTTTTTTTTTTTTTTTTGGAGGTTCTGCCTACTTTTGGTAAACAATTCTATGCCCCATATTCTTCAAGGATTTATTCAACTCTAATCATATTACCTCTCAGTATTTTCAAGCTGGAGGAGTCCTACTTATTTCAGCTGGCCTTCATACATCAGCCTCTCCTACTCCTTTATGCTGGGTGTTCTTTCTTGGCCTCACTTTAGTTCCAGTATGCCTTCTCCTACAAGATTAATGACCACAACTACCAACGACATTCTAGATGCCAACACATCGTATCCCGGATTTGTGTCAAGGCTGGCTGATGCTGACTGACTTTTTACAAACTTTTTATAAAGTCTGTCTCCCAGACTCATGATGAGAGTTTTTCTCAGAGACAGATTTATGTGTGTATGTATGTATATATGCATATATGTATTCCCTCAAAGATGGCCACTAACTAGCAGCTGTTCACACTTAGGAGAGGTCTTCCATGTTCAGTTATGGCAGGCAACAACACTAGTCACCTAGTTTTTCATACTAGGCTGCTTTGGTCTTTGTTGAGAAGGTAAAAGGGGAGAGACTCTGTTCGTGCTCTGGAGACCCCCATTGTCACTCATCTCCTCTGCCAGAATTCCTCTGGACTATCTCCTGGAGGGGGACTGGCCCAACTATCATAAATCTTAAATACAAAATTATATTATATGTGACTAACTTCTATATCATCCTGTTTAAATTACTTGTATATCACTCAACATATTTTAGCCAAAAGTTCCATAATTTCATTTTCATGTTCTTTTTTAAAATCCAGCACATAAAAACTCTGAAGCCAAGCCCATTCATATCTATATCACCTGTTAATTTATTCTAGGTCTTCTGATACTTCTGACATAAATGACAATTTAGCAGTGACATTCCCCTTCTTCTTTGTTATTTTATTTTTATATTCTTGCCAGTGATGTCATCTCCACTCCCATGGTTCCAATCACATAATGGTAAAGACATCCAACATGACATCTCCCCCAGCACCTCCAAAATCTTTTTCCTGAATTCCAGGCTCCATAGTTCCAACCGATTTGTAAGAACCCAAACTAAAACTGAATAAAACAAAATCCTCCCCTAAAAACTAGAGGCTATGTAAATAAGGTATTTTGGAACACAAAAACTAGATTGATAGTTATTATATGGAAGAATCTTTGAAATAAATAGCAGATACTTAGAAATAAATATGTATTTGAAATAAATAAATGAATAAATAAATCCATCCTATGGCTAACTGGAATAGTGTCAGATTTTGAGACAACAAAATAAAACTTTCAAGAGTATGCTACTTCAAATAGGGAAGGAATGTTCACGTTTTTTGTGTCAGTTCCTAAAAACTACACAGAGTTTTCATTTGTTTTTTGTTTTAAAACTTAACAAAGCTTTGGATCTTATAGTCAATTTACTTAAAATTACTCATTTTGGCCTCTAGACTATACTGTACCAAAGTTCATTGTGTTTGTCCCCTACAGCAGCTCTTGCATTGTTAAGAGTAAGCCCTTTTCACTGTTGTACAATGCGAAACACAATGCTGTCGGCAGTCCTGACAGCAAGCGGCAAACTCAGGCTTCATTCCCAGGCCAGACACTAAGGCATTGTATAACTCTGTTCAAGCCTCATAAACCTATCCATGCTTCAGTTTCCCCATGATTAACCAGTAACGCTTTAACACTATCTGCCACTTCCTTTCTTCAGGAGGATGTTATGAGGCATGGGTTCAATGCATTATGCTACTAAGAAAGGCACCACATGAGTAAATAACTGTTCATCAAGATGCTCTTTTTCCCAAGGTATCTTGGATGATAGGTGGCTTCCTTGGGCAAGGGCCTGGCAGCCCGACACACAGCCCAGACTGTAGTACTGCCCCTTCCATCAGCCCACAGCAGTCTTCAGATGTTCCATCCCATCCCAGTTCAACTAAAGACACATAACCCTGGGCCCTCCCTTGCAGCAGGACACAGAGAACAGAGCCAGTCTGAATTATAACTATACCCTCTGGGGGGTCAACCAAGGTCATGGTCCCCGTTGCCTAGACTGCTTCAGTTCACAGGTCTTTCCACAGTTATGACTTGCTCCTTTTTTTTTAAACCCAGTGTATCGACCATATTATGTCAGGACACAGGATGTTTCCCCCTAGCATGTGCCCACAAGCCTCTGCCAGGATTGTATGTGAGGAAATGGTGTGCCAAGGTCTTGAGAGAGGACAATGACCATAGTCACCAGTAATAACTCTGCCTTTGTCGTGGACTTTGGACAAACCAAATAATTACATCATCTATAGCTGAAACATGAATTGGCTAAAAAGCAGAAGCAAAAACCTTAGTAGTATTTGCTTGAAAAGGAAGGTGATCACATGTATTAGAAATAAAAATCAGCAGAAGATAAAATTGCAAGGGTAAAATGAGGACTTGCATTTCAGTCTTGTGGCCTAGCACCAAGACAGCAAGATCATCTTAAAATGTCCTTAATTCTGTTAGGGACAGTGCCAGATGTTTGGTAGGTCTGGCAGACCACTATACAGTGAATAACCTTTCATCAAGTCAACACTGTAAAGCACTAATTAAATATTTAACTGTACATTCCATTTCTCCCTTAATGACTCCAGCTACCCTCCAAATCACTCACTAGACCCTCAAACAGTCTGAGCACTTAATGTTTCTGTGCCACCCTGGTCCTGTGCACTCAGAATGAAAGTTCCTTCTCCCTCTTTTCTATGTGGTAAACTCCTACTCAAAGATCTGCTTAGATAGCACCTCCTTTGGCAAATCTTCAATTCCCTTGGAGAGAACTAATCCTTTCTTCCATTCCTTGGTCCTATACACAAACTTCTAGCA